AACTGTGACGTCCCTAAACAGCACCAATTGTGACGTCTTCGCCGCGGCGCCAGCTGTTCGCTCCTCGCTGCTCCGTTCGGGTGTCGCTGCTCCAAACGTGACGTCCGCCTGTCGCGTCAGTCGTGTTGTCTCGTCCTGTGACGACCAACTGGCTTGGTATCGGTCGCGGCACCCAAATGTGACGTTCTAACCTTTTGGTGATTCGGATGGGAATCTGGTTAGATTCGATATCAGCCTCGTCGTTCCCAACTCGCTTCCAACGCCTGGTTACCAAAGTAACTGCATTGATCTCCAGTCTGCCTACCCACGTTGTGAATTGATCTTAGGCAGACGAGATCAATCAGGGTTGGGGCCGTAATGCAAATTGGGTTCAACGGGGTGGTACCACACAAATATGCATAAAAGAAAATAAAATGAAAACTCAAAAGTTCAAGTATATCAAAAAAAGGTAACAAACTTTATGTCTAGTTGTTCGATACATAGGACTGCGTCTATCTCCCGACCCGTTCTATGGATTGTGACACGTCGTTTTCCGTTAGGCGAGTTTTAACGCTTTAAGTTGTTTGCTCTTTAAGAAATTTGGTTTTCGGTGTGTCTTTTGGACGAAAGTCGAAAAAAAAACTTATTTTGGTGGTCTGGATCTAAGTCGCTCTTCAAAATAATTGTTCTTGGATTGAAGAGGAGTCCGGAATTTGCGTGAATCTTGGTCAGCTATCTGCGAGGCGGCTTCAACTGGAGACTCAACTCAAACTTTTCTGGAACTGGAACTCACTTGGAACTGAACTGGAACTGATTTCTGCTCGTTGTGGCTTTTTTATATGGACGCCGACCAAAACCGGGGTGGGTTTGTCGGCGCTGGGGTTTCCTCGATAATTCTAAATACATATCCACCTCTTTTATTTCTGGTTAGGAATTTTCCACTTTTTTCCATTTTTTGGGAACTTTTCTTACTCCCACCTTCTCACCATACTTCAGAGGGGCGTGAACTGCCCTCCCCACTTCTTCGTAGCAACTTCTCATACCCATCCTCTGGATGGGCGGCGACAGCCTCCTCCGTGCGTCACGTGATCACCACTCGACCAATGATGTCTTAGTCGGGCGTGGCCGATCCCGCGGCTTTGTTTCAGGAAAAAAATATCTTGCTTAACTAAAAAAATTATCCTTTTTCTTTTCCTTTTCTTTCTCTTAATCGCCGTCATCATTTTTCTGGCCGCCAACAGAACGGCGACCAGTGGTGGTCATAACTCTTGTTCTCACCTGGTCTTCGTCAGTTATTTTATCGCTAATTATCAGAATGGGTGGTCTTCAACAAACACACAATCGACCGTCTCTCGAAAAAAACATTTCTAATTGTTCCCATTCATTTCCTTTCGGTACATAACATAGTTTGATAACATAATTTTTATTATCGCCTATAGATGGATGTTCCGTCGAAGGAAATCGGTCAGCGGACACTCGGTGGGTGGACACTTTTAATTTTTCATATCTATCCAAAGCTTTTAGTTCCACCTGTTTTTCGTCAATTATCAAAATAACATTTTCATTTGAATTTTTTTTGGCTAGTCGGTCTGTGGTTTGATAATTAGATGCCTTTCCCGCACCAATAGTTTGTTTTCATATCCTTAGATAACAGTTCGTCGCCAAAACATATCTGATTCTTTCTTTTTTCCCTTTCTTTTTTACTCTTTTCCCTGTCATTGTAATGGCACTTTTTTCGCCATTTGTTACTTATCAAAATATCCTTTATCCATTGCCTCTTAGCCGTGTGTGTGTTCTTTTATCATCCACGATTTAAGTCTTCGCCTCTCTTTTCCTTTTTCTTTTTCTTTTCTTTTCCTTTCTTTTCTTTTTCTGCCTCGTTAAATGGTGCGACAATATATATGTATAAGTTAAGATTGTTTATTCGGCAGTTCTTTTATCTTTCCTGTCCCATCAGGACTTGGGTGATCGGAACTCTCTACAATTTGTTGTACTTCGTTAGCACTTTGTAGAGTTTGTTGCTTTGCTATATTTCTTAATCCCAACTATTTACACTCTTAAAGGAAGGTTAGGCGCTCTTTCCCTTTTCGATGTTTAATTGGACACAAAAGGAGACATTGTGTGTCAGAAGCAGAACTAAAACATTTGGTTTGGTCTTCATTGTAAGAGAAATCTTTTATACTGTTTTTGTCGATCAATGACGTAATTTCTGCGTACAACTATCCCACTATAAAATGATTGCACTGTTAATTGTAGCTCTGCATAGAATTTGCACTTTTTTGGTTCTCTCCTAAACCCTTTTTCTGCCATTGAATAACCATATCGAGTTAGAGGTCATGCAGGGGATACATTTCATGGCACAGATCATAAAAATGGTTACATTTTAAAACGGTTAGAAATATTCATGACATGGGTTTAATATCGTTTTTCAAAACTCACACACACACACACACAATTTAATATATATATATATATATTTATATGACAATTATATATATATAGAGATAGAGAGAAAAAGAGAGAGAGAAAAGAGAAAGAGAGAGTGTGTGATATAGAGATAGAAACAGCCTATCAGAATTATATATCTATACTTATATATATATATATATATATGAAGAGAGAGAGAAAAACTAAAACAAATAGATGAAAAATAACACAAACATACAGAGACACAGTCTAGAGGAAGATAGACAGTAACAAAAAAGAAATAGATAAAACATGAAATGAAAAAATATATATATATATAAATGTTTATATATATATTTACACATGAAAATTAGGTTGTTGAAAAAGTTAAATATGTATGTAATTATAAAAGAAGTAGGCATTTTTACCAACATTCGTTATTTATCACATATTCATCCAATGTGATATTTCTGGCCAAAAAACGAAATGAATTTGCAAAACAAAGTATATATTAGCAACAAACAAATTGTCTTTTAAATATTGAAACCGTTTAGAAAAACAAGAATCGTATTCATATTCCCTGAAAATTACAATATGAATACAATGTTTTACTAAATTCATTCTATATATGACATTTTGATTGTTGTTATAGTGACTTTGTTTTCAAATTTCAGGAATTTTTATTTTAAACATTGAAAAGTTTACATTAGACAAATCCGAAAGGCTAATTTTTAAATTTTCCTGATTTTCTTTATTTTTCTTATTATATATATATATATATATATATATATATATATATATATATATATATACACAGCTTTATACCATTAATTTTTTTACTTGCGGCAAGAAATGCCCGGCATATTTGTTTATAAATTTTAAACTTATTTTAACACACCAAATGAAGTTGTATATACCTCTTAGCATAATCTAGTGGTTTTTTTTTACAGTTTTTGTGTATATAGTTTTTCTTTCATTATACGGTAATAATATCTATTTCTTTTGGTTTGCTGGTGTGTTCTCCTATTTGCCTATAAATAAATATATATATATATATATTTTTTTTGAAAAAAACAAAAAACTCTCATGAGACGCGAAGTAAAGTGATTTTTCCAGAGCCCTTTAAAAGGCTGTGGTGAAATAATTTAAAACATGGAACCTTAATGGTCTTTTTTTTATTTAAACATATTTGCTCTGAATTTACATTTAAGCTATCCGGAGAAAATCCTCCGAAAATGGATCTGAAATACGGATTACCTAAATAAACTAAATATTAACAAACATATATATATATATATATATATATATATATATATATATATATATATATATGCAGTGTGTGTGTGACAAAAGTAATTCTAGAAATTGATTTTTCACTTTAACTATTAGTAAGAAAACAAGAACTATTGAAATTAACTGGTTTTACTTTTTAATCATCGGCTAGTAAATTGAATATCACATATCCCATTTATCTTTGAGATAAAATAAAGATTTAACGCCCTGACCATGGACGTGAATCGCATTTCGTCTTGGTAGCACAAATCCCGAGTCATGAGAGTCTTGTCACGTGTTCAAATATGACTAACCAAGCGTGCCACTAACCAAATGTGACTAACAAACCTTATAACACTTTTAAGTTACCTGGAAATGATGATGATAGATAGATAGATAGATATATATATATATATATATATATATATATATATATATATATATATATATATTATAATCTAATTGGATATTGGATTAAGAAATCATTGAGCCGAGTTCTGAATTCCAGTCGAATCCAAACCATTCACTTACGTGACCAAATTAGTGGGACCTTTGGTGAAAATTAATCCGATTTTCCATGTTCCAGCTATGGGTAAATTCAGGACAGATTGGATTCTATAGCCTTGGATTTTCTTGGCCTGTTAAGGACAATGGATTTCAAAACCTGCGGAGGAGAAAACAGATAAATATTCATTCTGCACCAGGTCGTTTCATTTCGACACAATTCAAAAGTTCGAGTTTTGGTCCGTTAAACCTTCACCACTATATATACAAACCATTACCAATCTAATGCTGTCAAATATGTCGGTTTCATGGGAACACGATCTGCTTGACCACATACACGCGCATTGACGGAGAAACGACGAAATATACATAATATATATATATTTATATATATATATAGAGAGAGCTAGAGAGACTGGTTCCCAAGATGATATGAATTTAATAGATAGATAGATAGATTTTGATAGATAGATTTTCACTGTCGAAATGGCTCAAATGTCTCCATCTCTCAACCTCTGATGGCGGTAGCGGATTAGCCTTGAATCAAAGAGAGTTTGGAACGAGGCCATTCTTACCCTGAATTTATAATCTTCAAATATTCAAACGAGGAATGTCAATCGACATGTCTGAAATCTTGACCTTGATCTCTGTCAAAGGATATCCTTTCCCCCAAAACTATTCACTCTTATTTTCCATAACCTCAGTGCTAGTTGAACCCTTGTCTAATGCTTGGGGGTTTGTAAAAAATATATAGATGCATATTGGTTAAAGGGATGCATATGTGGGTCCCACATGAATGTATTTATATGCATGTTTTGAAACATGGTATGATTATATCA